ATTCAAGGCGCGCCTGTTGCAAATTGTCCCGGTGTAAAGTCATCACATGCCCTTGGTCGTGTGTATACGGTCCATGTAACTAATTTTGAATGTTTCTGTTTACGATTGCTGCTGCACCATGTTCGGGGTCCTACAGGATATAAAGACCTTAAAACTGTCAACGGTCAGAAATGCGCAACTTATAGAGAAGCATGTGAAGGTCTGCATCTTTTAGAAGATGATAATCACTGGGATGAAACCATGGCGGAAGCTGTGCAGTGCCAGTCACCAGCCAAAATTAGGGATCTTTATGCAACTCTCATATCATCTTACGGGCTATCTAATGCACATTAATTGTGGGGCAAATATAAAGAGTACATGGCGAAAGATATTTTGCGAAGGTTACAGCAGACACATGCGAACATGACATACAATGAACACATTTATAATGAAGCACTTGGAAAAATTTAAGATAAAGTAATGGCAATGGTAGGCAAAAACTTAAGCGACTTTGGAATGATAAGCCCTCAGCGAACAACCGAAAATGAACTAAGTGATGAAATTATACGTGAAACAAACTACGATATACCAGCTTTGCAGCAGCAAGTAGCCGAATTTGTACCCCGCTTGCTTCCCGAACAAAAACGAGTTTTTGACATAGTATTAGGACAAATTGAATCTGGAAATGGTGCACTTTTCTTTTCAGATGTCCCTGGAGGAACTGGGAAGACATTTTTGTTAAATTTATTATTAACGCAAGTACGGAAAGATAAAAACATTGCTGTGGCCATAGCTTCCTCCGGTATAGCCGCACATTCTGTTTTAAAACTCCCTCTAAATCTAGCCCAGGAGGAATCGCCGATCTGCAACTTTAGCAAAAATAGTGCACGAGGTATAATGCTACGACAATGCAAATTTTTAGTGTAGGATGAAAGCACAATGTCGCATAAAAAAGCTGTAGAAACACTAAATCGAAAGCTCCAGGATTTGCGCAGCAATACCGATGTAATGGGAGGAATGGTGGTTTTACTGGCTGGTGACTTTCGCCAAACTTTACCAGTGATTCAAAAGGGCACACCTGCAGATGAAATTAAAGCATGCCTCAAGTCGTCTATTTTATGGAACAAGGTGACAAAATTCAGTTTAATTACGAATATGAGAGTGCATTTGTATAATGATATCAATGCTGGAAACTATGCTGACACACTATTAATAATTGGCGATGGGCGGTTGGGAACGGATGCTGAGGGCTGCGTTAAATTGACGAGAGATTTTTGTAATTTAGTACAGAGTCATTCCGAATTAATTGCGAGCGTTTACTCAGATTTAACGAACAACATGCATGAAGACAAATGGTTATGTGAAAGGGCGATTCTTGCACCAAAAAATGAGAGCGTTAACAAAATAAATTCAGATATATTAAGCGAAGTAGCAGGAGAAATAACAGAGTATTTGTCAGTAGACACAGTTATGGACACAGAACAGAGCACTTCATATCCCGCAGAGTTTCTAAATTCTCTAGAGTTGTCAGGTGTGCAGCCTCACATAAGCTTCAATTAAAATTAGGCGTCCCAGTCATGTTAATGCAAAATTTAGATGCTCCTAGGTTATGTAACGGAACAAGGCTGCGTGTGACACATCTTGGACGGAACATAATCGGTGCTACAATTTTGACAGGCGTAGGAAAAGGTGAAAATTTATTACACCACGGATCCCTATAATTCCCACAGATCTTCCTTTTCAATTCAAAAGGTTGCAGTTCCCTATTAAGCTCAGTTTGGCAATGACAATTAATAAAGCGCAAGGGCAAACGTTACAGGTAGCGGGGGTCAGCTTAGAAAAACCGTGCTTCTCTCATGGTCAGCTGTATGTAGCATGTTCGCGTGTGTCAAAAGCCCAGAATCTCCACATTCTTTCCCCGAATGGAAAAACATATAACATTGTGTACAGTAGCGTCTTAAAATAGTGTTCAGTTAGTTTTTTTTTTTTTTTAATTCCCACAATCAATTAATCAGAATTCCCACAGATCTTCCCTTTCAATTCAAAATTTCCTATTTAGCTCAGTTTCTTTTCAATTCCAAATGCTGCACCTCTGACGGACCTATTAAGCTCAGTTTCCTTTCAACTCAAAGGGCTGCATCTCTGACGGATCTTTTATTTGACTCAGTTTCCTTTCAATTCAGAAAACTGCATCTCTGACGAATCAATTTAGCTCAGTTTCTTTTCAAAAGTCTGCATCCCTGACGGATAATTATGCTCAGTTTCCTTTAATTAAAAAAATATCCCATTTCCATTTGGAATAAACAGGCTATTTTCATGTTTTCCTATACGCTGCGTTTCAAAACATTTAAATAGGCTGACGAATAAATTTTGCTCAGTTTCCTTTTAATGGCTGCATCTTTGACAAATCTATAAAACTCAGTTTTGTTTCAATTCAAAAAGCAATGGATAGTTCATTTCCCAGTGACCATGCGGGCGAAGCCGCGGGTAACAGCTAGTTTACAATATTTTGTAGCCTTAAAACTTTTTAAATATGTTTTATTAATTAATTTTTTTAAACAATAACACGAATTGACATCAATATTTTATTTTGAGGAGTCTACAACCGTACTGCGCGTGTATGTAAGTATTCAAACAGTCTTAGGCATATGAGTTTACGGGGCGTAATGAATTGATGGATTAACAAAGGATGATTTGAAATAATTGATAGATGGATAGAATCTCAGTACAAAAATTGATTAAATAAGAAAGGGTTACGTAACTTATATAGGTATAAGTTATATACTGGGACAGGATATACTCTGCTGGTTTTTTTAGAAGAAGGAGGAAAGGAAGGACTGAAAAAAAGAAAAGGCTCTGTTCTTGCGGTACCCTAAGTCGCATCGGTCTGGAAAAATTGGTGGTGGTAGCCAATTCCCCAAAAAGTCGTGTGAGGAAAAAAGTTCTAGAAAATCGCAAAGTGGTGAACCGTCAAGCAGACGTATGGTGATCCTCACATGGTATTGTGAATTTTGTCGCGATGTACGATAGAGGAATTTTGCGACTGGGATCAATCATAACTATGGCTCTGAGCACTCCACGTGGTAAATTAAATTAAAAATAAACGAACACAACATCTCCTCGCAACGCCAATCAATTAAACCGATAAGAAACAATGATGGACTGTGGAAAGAGACATGAGAACAGTATTTCATGTAAGGCTGAACTTGCGCCTTATAAAGTTGCAAGCGGTGTGAAATATTGTCTGGTCTACTGAACACGCCAAGCTTTGTAGAGGCCAATTTAGCAATCTTAATTTATTTTCAGCTCAACCTCATTTGATATGTTGACGCCGAGGATTCCGATGCTGGCAGAGTCAGCAAGGGGAGTGCTTTGAAATTGAGGAGACTCTACAAAGGAGCTTTTTAGCGGCATGCGCGCAAATCCATGTTTTATGCGGTTTAAACTGGACTAGATGAAGTCATGCCCAATCCAACACTTTATTTAACAAAAAATCGACTACTAAACACAAGATTGTATCGGCACTCTACGACTTGCTACCCAGAAGTACTGGGACGGCCGGTATAAAAAGTACACCAGTGCTGTCATCTGCATAGCAATGAATTGAACATATTTCTTTTTTAAGGGACGAATAAATCTAACAAGTCCTTCAAATACGTTTTATATACTCAAGCAAGTTAGTTTTCGCCCAATACTCAGTTAAAAACAAAATATAACTACCTGGTTTTCGGATATTATTATTACGTTCCGTTTCTTATACTTATCATTCATCATCATCTATATCAATACAGCCCATTACAAGTCCGCTGTTGACCATAGGCCTATTCCATAGATAGTTACGGAGTACGGTAGTCATTAAATAATTAAATAATTAATCATTAAATCATCACGGCGGTAGTCACTTAACATCAGGTGAACCGTATGCTCGTTTGCCGTCTTCTATAAAAAACCGGTCCTGAGTCACTTGCGTCCATCGACAACCTGTTTGTTTCATAAGATCGTCATACCATCTAGTGGGACTTCGCAAGATATTGTCTTTTAACTGTGATACTGCGCTTTTTAGTACATGACTGCCTGTGAATATATGGTACCATAGAGTATAGGTAGTCTATACTCTGATATAAGACCCATTGCCACTTCAACATACATTTTATTGCTCAGAGAAATTCCGAGCATTTTTAGCCCTCTCTATAGCTCGCTGAGTAACTTTAAGCTTTTTTCGTAGTCACCAACTTACGATTGAGAAATACGTAGATCGGTCAAAGAGCGCCACGTAGATAGAAATTCGTTAAGTAACTCAGATCTGCACTCTGACTAGTGAGTAAGCATAGGTGTTGTGTAAGTGTAATAACGCGCATACGAAACAGCATTTTTATCAAATTTAAACTATTTATATGTAGCAGAGTCGTGGTAGCTCTCGGGCTTGTAGTGCTTGTTGTAATTTTCACAGTATGCAAGCAACCAGACTTAGATCTTCACCGCCACCGATAAAATTGTTAATAGTAAAGTGCTGATTTGCCACGCGCTCGGCGAAGAACATCAATCAACATGCATATCAGTGTGGAAAACAGCATATCAAACAAATAAAAAATTAATTCGACGTAATGTGAAGTCCGACAACACCCATTAAGACCACGTGGCGGTCATTTTTCTAAAACCCCCTCAGAAATGAAAGGAGGCTTTTTAAAAATAGCCGTTTGTCTTTGCATAGATCGAATGAGTACACGCTTCGTCAGGTCGTCTTTTTTAACACAGTAAGAGTGACGAACGACCACACAGTTCACCTGATGGTGGAGGTGGGCGCTGTGGTCCATAGGCATCTACATGTATCCTCGATTAAGAATCAAAATGCAAATGCGTTGCCACCCCTGAGGACTAAGATGGAAGGCCTCGTTTCCAATAAAAAGGGTCTCCGTCACTCTTAGGTGGTTGCAAGCTTACTTACCATGAGCCTGTGCTTGATCAATCTTATCACTGAATCTATGTAAGGGTAACTTATTTTTTCTTTTTGTTACCTTCAGGCCCCGTTACACGTGTGGAATGCTGGTAAGATGCGGTGGAGCAGCGCGACCTCTGTATCCGTACAGACTGGCGGCTGCCGATGACGACTGCTGTGCACCCGGAGCATGGCCGCCACCTGTAGTTCCCCCCCGACCTCTCACGCGCACGCCAAGCAAAGAAGACTTGACACATACGACTTACGTTAATTCTGGGTAAGAATATACGAGTGAAGGTTTTTTCAATAGGAAAAGGATGACAAAGAAACTCACTGATCTGATGGGTAGATGCTGTGACTCATAGACACTTATATCTGTCCTACGAGTAGTTTTATAATCTCAATAAAGATGTATTCTCACCGCCGAGAATTAAGGTAGATATGAGTATTCGAAGAATGCCTCGTAACCAGTAAAAATGGTCCCTACTATCATCATACAAAACACAGCTCTATTTAGCTGCTATTTCACGCTAGTATTACGTGAGAGCGGTGGCCTTCCCTGATTGAGCAGATCCATTCACGCTACAACCATAATATAACTACAGCATTAATACCGCGGTAATACATGTAGGTCACTGAATTTAGCAGAATTGATTTTAGCTTCTTTATATATTGCCCTTTGACCATTATACTTTTTTCGGATCATTGAATTTATCTCATCCGTCATTTCAAATTCTGTCGAAAATAATTATTTGTTTTCCCCAAATTACACAGGAATCGCGCTCTAGGCCTCATTCACCTTTTACCACTTCTTTTTATTTTTATTTTTATAAATAAATATTTATTGCTAGAGACTAAATCGGGTCTTTATAGTTATTTCAAAATTAAAGCTCATTCTTTGCATTACAGCCATCACATTATTCTTCGAGAACACGGTCGCGTTGTCGTGCAACAGCAGTACGTTTTACTACAACAGCGACTCCGATCTTACAATTATTAATCCAGCGTAGTAAAGTCGAATTATGGAAACAAATTCTTCTTTGTAATTGTTCGAAAGGTTATTTACGAATAATACAACTTAAATATTTTTATAAGTGCAGCCCTCACAAATCCTTCATTTCGCGAACTTTCTGACCCGCATTCTAACATTATATAGATACCTTATATTATTGAACAATACGTAGGTATTCTGCCCGTAGATAATCATCTCTTATCCCACATCAGCTGCTGCCATAGTACGCAGACATTGTCAATCTCAGTATCAGACGTGTCGCATCTTTGACGCTGTATTTTTCGACCGTCTTGGTATCATACATCTGGTATAATTACATACAAAATTCAGACACCACGTTCCGGACTTTTCTCTCACTCCTCTTATATATGTTATGGATCAAGTGATTAATCAGGGCACTATTTAAGATGCGCGGGCAATATGAATAATGTGACAATTTAAATCGGGCTGCGTAATTAATACTGATTTAAACTTCATTATTCATCACACTGTCTGGTCATAACCTGGCCTAACCTATCTTTTTATTACTCTGTTCAATAAGTAACGAACTTTATTCATAAAGCCCGGTCAATTTATTTATTCAAATAGTTTTTATCTATTGCCTACTCATATTTCACATTTTTCAAACTGTCTAGGCATTATGAATATTGACATATTAGTCACTTGGTCCATAACATATATATGATGGATTTCTTATCCTACTAATTTAATTCAGACTCCGAACAAAAACACACGACCTAATCGATTTTCGACAAATCGTCAAAACAATAGAACGCTTTTAAAAGCGGTAAAGTGATGTTACGTTACGTTATAGGTATCAATGCTCATGTATACAATGCAATTCCATAAATATCGCAGCGTTACATAGTCTGCATTTACATAGACATGCATCTTGCATACGGTGATTGTAAAATTCGATATAACAGATTAACTCGACTAGTCTCGCACTCTTGCACGTTCGACGGCCGTCACAATTAATTTCAAGGCTTTAATGTTATTATTGTGTTCACATAATTTTGTTCAGAATGGGAGACAGCAACCGCTTCGGCGGCAGCTGCGTGGTGCACGGGTCGAGCGAGGGCGGCGCGCTGGGCGCGGGTGGCTCTGAGGAGGAGGCGCTGAGTCCCGTTCCCGAACCGCCGACCGGCTTCAGCCACTCGGCCTGCCCGCCTGAGATGCATCGCACCTGCTTCTGCGTACGCTTCATCGCCGAGCACACGAGGATGCTAGAGGACTCCACCAAGGTAAATATTGATCTTCTTTTAAATTCTCACGATCTAAAACATATCTAGCATCGCATTTGCTTCTGCGTACGCTTTATTTCTGATCACATGAGGATTCCAGCTAGGTAAGTGTAGATCCCCGTTTTTGATTCCCACGACTGCGAGCTAGTTCATCATTGAAACATCAATAATGTTAAAAAATTCACGTTAATAAACAAGAACGTTTTCTTCTTCTTCATTTGCGCCCCTTAAAGTTCACTGCTAGAGATGGAGCTCTCTCGTTTCAGGAAGGATTTGCCGTAGGTATTCGCCACGCTTATCAAGCGGGTTGGCGATTATTTGATGGACGGCGAAGATATTCACCAAGTTTGAGCTGTTGCTGACGTTTAGTTAGATAATCAGATAAGCGCATGAGGCAGACCATAATAAATAACATATTTATACCCGTATACTTTTTCTAACAGGATAAAAATAGAAAAGGTATCGAAAATTTGTTACCAGAGTCCAGATGCTTACTTATTTCTTCAGTTAAAGCTGAGTAGAAATTCTATTTCTAAAACTAAATTCATTTTTACTCGTAGTGAGCAGGTATCTGTGAGATATTTTTTCAACCTATTGTTTATTAGCTTCTCCTGTATTGTAGATAGTATTGTTAAATACAGAAATTGGTCTATAGTTGTCGACATCATCTTTACTTTCACTTTTATGTATGGGGGTTACTAAGGCCCTTTTAAATATTATGGAAAATCGGCCATTTTCAAAGCGAAGATTGTAAATTTGGCGAATTATAGGTTTATATTATTTATGTAATTAATATGTGTGTGTGTGTGTGTGTGTGTGTGTGTTTTTTTTTAACAATTTTATGACCATATGATCCAGTAATAAAGGGCTTTTTCTGCCGTGCTAAAAAAATCTGGTATATCAAACAAAAATTTAAGAAAAGCTTACGTATACTGGTTTACATTTTTTTTAATAAATATAATAATTTATCTCCTTCCCAATATGGTTTTAGAATAGGTAAATCCTCAGATGCTGTGATTTCCCAAAGCTCGCTAATAATAGGATAAATCGATAAAGAAAATAAATGGTTAACGGTGTGTCTTAATATTAAAAAAGCATTTGACACCGTCTCAGTCCCTATCTTTGTGAACAAGTCAGAAAGGTATGGTATAAAGGAAACATCATTAACGCTTTCCTAAAGCTATCTCTCTAATAGGAGGCAAAGAGTTAAATTAGAATCTGCATCTTTAGTTCGGTCAAGATACAGAAGTTGCATATGGAGTCCCACAGCGAAGCGTATTGGGTAACCTAAAAACAATAATGCAAAAATCTTATCCTATGCCGAATATACAGCTTAGTCTTCTCTACACACAAGCTATAAGAAATGGTGCTGAAAGAGAGATTTACAAATTATAACTACATGGTTGAAATGCAACTTACTTTGTACAAAGTACTACCGCCAGATAAAGGATCTTTCTCTCTCTAAACTCAAAACTTATCGAATGTAAAAAGATAATACTCTTCCCTCAATCCCTTAACTCCTTTATTATAAGAACGCTGAGTAGCTTTTAAATCCAGTAAAATAGTACACTCACACACACGCACGCACGCACACTCACTTAGGTACGCACACACACACACACACACACACACACACACACATACGTGCGCGCGCACGTATGCACGCACGCACGCACATACACGCATATAAACAGTGGAAAAAAACTGTAATTTCTGTTTCTGTATTTTTAAGTTATTATTTGTAATTACTTTTAAAATAAATGTATAATAAAAATATACATATAGGTATGGAAAAGCGGAGTCAGATCAAATAATTAGGGCAATTTGTGTCTATGGAACCCAATTTGATATCTATGCTTATGTCATGAATTTTTTATATTGATTTTATTTTAATTTTTTGTCAACAAATGTGTAGGTATTCAAAAATAATCTGTTATATTTTGAATATATACAGTTAGATTATTTAAATATTAGAGGTTATTTTGCAAATTAAATACATTGCGAAATATGCAGAGAAGGTACCGAATAAGTAATATAGGCAAATGGTGAAGAAAAATTAATTTAAAAAATCTTAAACTTATTGTCATTTTTATTTTTTAAATTCAAAATGCATGGTAATCCATTATTTTAACTGATTTTACCTCACATGCACACATTCGTAAACCCTTACGCTCAATATAGTAATTTGTTGCGCGTCTTCCCTCGCCCTTCAACCGTTACGAGGGAAGGGTTTACTCGCCCGACTTGCGTACGCTGAAACTGTGAAATGGTGATATTACATGTGAATATTACACTTTGAGCAATAAAAGTTTACTTGGTACATACAAAGATGCTTAAGTGAGTCTACCGCATTGAGAAATTATCATACGTGTCGTAATCAAACTATTCAAGTGCAGTGAGCGATAAATTAAATAGTGAATCTGCAAACTCGCCGGAACTTTCATCGTTAGTCTTTTATCTGTGTATATAAATCGTGTTTACGTCAGAGGTCTAAAGTTATGACGACCGCAAATCTTAATTTTTTTAATGATTCCTACGTTCACAGGAGTTAAATGTGGTCAAGAACAGATAATAAGTGTAAAAAAACATTTTAACAAATCGTGCTCGTCTATGCGTAAATAATGTGGCCCGTTGACCCGTGACCGTACGGCAATCTACGGAAGCCCCCGGTGCAGAAGTATCCAGTTCGGTTTTTCTCGTCTCGCCAGTCGATACTATCGTCCGACGTCGTCACATTCCATTTTGAGGTACCAATATTAGATATAGGGACTACTTGCGTAATTTAATTAAGGATAAGGACAGTCGTCGGTTACGACGTTGATAAGCAATTTTTTTTTTAATTTTATTTATTATGATGATCCCGAGCAAGTTAAAAGTGTAAAAGGAAAACTAGAATCATTATTCGCAACATGTAGTTACTGTCTTAAGCGTGTCACTAAGAAAGTAAACAGTAGGCAAAAACTTGAGAAACGAAAACATTAATTGAACACACACATGGGAGCGCGTGTAAGAGTAGTTGTTGCTCATAAATCACATTCAATTTAGGATAATTTCGATTAAAATTAGAAGCCTTATTTACTCGTATTTTCAAAAATGTAATATCGGTATATGATAATTTGTTTATTTAAACTTCAATGAAAAATTTGGCTACTCTTTGAAAAATAACCCTGTATAAAAAGTAAAGCTGCAGCCAGGCTCGGGCACCCTTTCATTTCTGATAAGTCCGCACGTGTTGCCGGACTTCACAAGTTCTTGAATAATTTTTATTTCTGAGACATGTGGCTGATGGTAAATCGGCAAAATTGGAACTAAAAATTTACGACAACAATTATCTACTTTAATTGAAGTTACATAATTGCAATTCAAATCCATACTTAATATCAGGCTCGATGACAATTGATGTCGATTTATTTATATTTATTAGTTTTCAAATTACACATTTATTTGTATTTGAAATACATCTTATCAAATCTTTAATTATACCCAAAAAAATGACAAAGCCGCTAGCTACACTCCGTACTTACTCGTCCTTTTTGCAAAATATTACAATGCATATTATGTTTAAGCATCATATATATCTATGTACCTATATAGGTCTTTCACACCACACAAAGCGTACCACTTTAAAAATTATTTAGCTTATACTATCCATAAATTCCAAGGAATAATATAATATGAGTTTAACAGTGGTACAGCCACGCGACAGCTTTTGCTGTTGCACGTATGGGCCGGCTCGAGCCGGGGTGATATCACGACCTCACAGACTACCGGCGAGATGGCAAAGCCGGCTCTCCCTTTTCTGACTATGACGCAGGTGTCTCCGGCTGACGCTTCGTATCTCTCCTGACCGGGGTACAAACTGGAACACTCTTTTGTGCCTCGGGCTGGATTTTACGTATACGTCTGAGAGGACATCTGTTCTCGACGCCTCGGTAGTCCTGAAGATTCGGACTTGTCCATCCTTTGGCTACGCGTAGATAGCGACGACCATCCGCGCGTCTACGGGTGTCTCTATAGATCCACGTCCAAATTGCTAGAGATTCGTTGCTACAGCAGATCGCAGAGATCGTGATCCTCGGTGATTTTAACGCCCAACACACCGAATGGATGGTTCACGTGTAACCGATCATGCGGGGAGATCATAGGGACATATGGTCTGACATAACTGGTTACTTCGCCTACATGAATTCCAGATGTTGAGGATCATGCACCTTCCCTGTTGGACATTCTGCTGACCTCGCATCCGGACGAATATCAGGTCTACATCGATGCCCCTCTTGGTTTCTCGGATCGTTGTCTTGTCCGGAGTGTGGTGCCACTTACGCCGAAATTCCGGTTGCATTCTGCAGGCTGCCGTCGTGTTTGGCACTATAGGTCAGCCGATTGAGATAAGAGGCGGTCTTTCTTTGCATCCTACCCTTGGGGGCGGGTTACCTTCCTACCGGACGATCCCAACGTTGTTGCTGATTCTGTTGCTAATGTGGTACTTCAGAGTATGGAACTTTTTATTCCTTTCTCTGTGGTGCCCATTGGAGGCAGATCTCAGCCATAGCTTAGTCGTTCCTGTAAAACAGCATCATGTTATAAGCAGGAGTGCTACCGGGCCTGGGCTGAAGCATCAACGTCCCGGGATGTAAACACCAGCGCCTTAACCCTTCAATCCCCATAAAATTTCCATGCAGTCGTATGCGCCTGGCAAATCCCGAGCGGTCGCATGCGACCGCACCCACCCACAGCACTTAAAATCATTAAAACTTATATTTAGAGACTACTTTTCTATGAAGAAGTTTGCCATTATAAAATCTATACAAAATCAGGTTTTACTTCATTACAAAAATATTTTATTGTATTTTGATAACAAAAGAAAAACATACAGAGCGGATGTCGGCAGCGTGAAAAACAATTATTTCAATATATATTACGCGAAATTATTTACGTAAAAGGATAAATTACATTCACACAAAAACTTTTCTTACAATTTAATAATGAAACACCATACTAAAACACTAATAAAACACCAGAAAAATCCAAAAATCAACACAATAACAATCACACCAAAATGGCGTACGAAATGAACGTAGATTATAAATAAATATCCATAGACCACCTAACTTTTATTCCACTAGAGGATAGAAAATTTCATATTAATTCTATAATGCCAAACTTATTTATAGAAAAGTAGTCTCTAAACACAAGTATTTATGGGTTAAAGTGCTGTGGGTCAAATTTGACCTGTTGAATTTTGACGGAATATCGAAGCGGTCAAATTTGGACGCTTGGCGTTTGGGAAGTTAAAAAAGAAGTATAATTCAGCGTCCAGGTACTTCAAAACAGTCATTGCCAAGGCAAAGTCAGAGCACATAGAATTGGCGAGAAACTAGTTCGCTTTCCTTCTGGAACCCGTGCATTCTGGTCTCTCGCCAAGGCTGTCCAAGGGAATTTCTGTCAGCCATCTCTTCCATCTCTGCACAGGGAGGACGACTCACTGGCCCATGCCGCAAAGGAGAAAGCCGATCTGCTAGGCTCTTTCTTTGCGTGCAACTCGACTCTATGACGGGGGGAGCATACCATCGACCATCCCACGATGTGAGTGCTCCATGCCGGATGTGCGGTTCACGCAGCGTGGTTCGCAAATAACTCCTCTCCCTGGACATCCACAAGTCAAGTGAGCCTGACGGAATCCCCCCAATCGTGCTGAGGACATGTACTCCGGAGTTGGCACCGGTTCTAAAGCGTCTTTTCCGGTACTCCCACTCTCTAGGCGTAGTCCCAAATTCATGGCAGACGCCTTTCGTCAACCCGATCCCTAAAAAAGGCGACCGCTCAGATTCGTCAAACTACAGGTCTATCGCCATTGCCTTGTTCTCCATAATAATGAAATCCATTATAAACTGCCAGCTCATGCGGTACCTTGAAGATCACCAGCTGATTAGTGACCGCCAATACGGTTTTCGTTGGGGTCGATCAGCCGGTCATATTTTGGTCTACTTGACTCATCGGTAGGCAGAGGCAGTGGAGTCCACGGGGGAGGCGTGGGCCGTTAGTTTGGACTTTGCGAAAGCCTTTGATTGGGTTTGGCACAAAGCGCTTCTTTCGAAGCTCCCTTCCTGTGTGTGAGCTCCCGACAAATTGTTCAATTGAATCACCAGCTTTCTTGCAGATCGGAGCATCAAGGTCGTTATAGACGGTGCCGGTAACATTCATTTTATGCGGATGACGGAAATGGTGATGCTCTGTACACCGGTCGTGCCAATATTTCTCGGGAAAACGTCTCCGAGTACCGGGACAAACTTGTGTCTGAAGTCGAGTCTTTACTGAACAAAATCTTGAATTGGAGGCGACTAAATCTAGTCCAATTTAACCCGCAGATGACACAAGTTTGAGCGTTTACCGCTAAAAATAACCCCTTTGTCGTATCTCTTCAGTTTCAAGGCACCCATTGTTGCCTCAGCCAGTATCGGAATCCTCAAGGTCGACATATCGAGTGACGTGCAGTTTCGTGGTCACTTGGAAGAGAAGGCCAAATTTGCCTTTAAAACGCTTGGCGTATTCAGCAAAGCGGGACAGTATTTCATGCCGGTATACCTTCTGCAACTTTACAAGGCGCAGGTTCGGCCTCACATGGAAAACTCCTCCCTCTCCAGTGCCAGCTCCTTCCATTTGACCGCATACAGCGCAGAGCGGCTCGAATCGTAGACGACCGAGTGCTTTCCGATCGGCTCGATTCACTGGCGCTGCGAAGAGATGTTGCGTCTCTTTGCATTTTCTTTCGCATCTACCACGGGGAGTGCTCTGAGGAATTGATCGGATTAATTCCAGCCGCCAAATTTTATGAACGCACTACGCGGCAAACCTCCCGATACGATCCACACCATCTGGATGCTTAGCGGTCCACCACTGTACGTTTCACTAGGAGTTTTCCTCCGCGTAATACCTCTCTGTGGAATAGTTAACCACCGGTGATTTTTCCGGACATATACGACCAAGGGACCTTCAAGAAAAGAGCTTACTCCTTTCTAAAAGGCCGGCAACGCACCTGCAATTCCCCTGGTGTTGCAGTAATTGATGGGTGGCGGTAGTCGCTTAACATCAGGTGAACCGTATGCTCATTTGCCCCCTCTCCTATAAAAAATATAATAGAATAACTCAGAACAAATATTTCCGCTCGACGTATCCAACTTGGTTTAACAACTTTCGGGAAATTACGACCCATCTTCTTGTCACTTATTTCTCAAGTTCTTTAAAGAAGAAGTAAAACCAGAGCATGTTACCAGTGAAGACGTACTTATGTAACTGGGACGTCGTCTTTTACTGCTAGCCATATGAGTATGCCTAAGTCGATCAACAAGCTATGGAAAGAGCTTGGTACGGAGTTTCTCTACGTGATAGAATCCGTACGCAAAAAAGAAATCCAAAGAAAACCCAGTGTAACCGACATTTCCCAAGGGATCAGCAAGCCTAAATGAAAGAGGGCTAGCCATATAAGCTTATTCTCTTTTATTCTCTCATCGACAACCGGTGGGGAAGAAAGGTTCTGGAATAGCAGCTGCAGGTAGCTCAGGATCATGTTTTGTGGCATCCCTTGGGAGAGGCCTATGTTTAGCAGTGTACTTGATAGGTTTTAACGATAATAATATTTATATAGAGCGAAATAACTTAGTTTTGCCTAGGTTTTAGGTAATTAGAGAATGGATTGATTACAAAATATTTTATCTTCGACTAATATATCCAATTCAAACCACATTAAAAATCTTTAAACCTTAAAACCCTTTATGGATGGATTATTCAGTCGTTCAACCATTCAAAATTACTTTTCTTTGAAAATAACTTTTAACGTTGCAACAAAGATACGTTGTAACAATGAAAAGTTATTTTCACTATTCGAAGCAATTATTAATATAATAAATAATTGAAAAATTCCAGGTGAAAGAAGATTGGAAATACGTAGCAATGGTCCTCGACCGGCTGTTCCTCTGGATATTCACTCTAGCAGTGCTGGTGGGAACGGCCGGGATCATTCTACAGGCTCCGACACTGTACGATGACCGCATACCTATTGACAAGCAGTTCAACCAGATCACCACGTCGACTTTAGTGCGGTGTCCGCCGCCCACATAAAATACCACTACACAAAAATGCAACGGTGTATACCTAACTGATACATGTTTGTAAATCGGTTGTGAAACAGGAGAAACGTCAACGTTTCCTTTAAATATTTTTTATGTCATTTATTGCATTCGTAAGTAACCAAAAGATTGTCTATAGTCGATTCAGCTCTTTAAAACTTCATGATGACCTTTAAACTTTGAATATCAACTGGCAAGTTTTGTCTTTTGTCTAATTATTGGACTGTTTTATACAGGTAAGTACTTTTATATGATTTAAATATTAACATTATTTGAGAGTTATTTTTTTTTTTTTTTTTTTTAAACGTTACCCCTACACTAAGATTTTCTCTTGTATCGTGGGGGCAGTTTACAAACATAAATTGCACAAGGACAAACATCCAGACTCGGAACAACTATATGTAGGCCATACAAATACTTGTTCCGTGCGGGATTCGAACCCGCGACCCCCAGCGCAGCCACTCATTGCTAAGCCACTGCGCCACGGAGTCGTCTAGTGTATTCTAAAAATGTTATTATTCAAAGTAAATAAATTTCCTCCTGTGATACTCGCGAGACAATCGCAGTTGAGTCCTGATGGCCTTCTGTATTGCAGTATTGCAACATCCAACGCACACCCGTCCTACCCAGCACGTGTTCTATTCCACGACACGTTAATTGTATTAGCATCTAGTGTAGTTATATTCTCGTACTTCTTAAACTTTGCACCCAACATTTACCTTCACGCACTCAAATTATCCTCTTACCCTCTTTCTCTAAGCTTATAAACCTTACCTACTTAAGTTCTATAGCTCTTAAATCCTTAGAGTATACATAAGCAAGCTACGCATAAGTATACTCTAAGCTTAAATCACAAATTATTGCATGTCTGACTCATGATCTTAAAAATAACAAGTGACAATAAAAATTAGAAATTGACAACAAAAGCTATTTAAACTCACTTCAAAATATTCAGTTTGCATTCAGTGTATTACTTTTATTGGCTTTTTTATTACTTAGCAAAATAAATAATTATTTTCTAACACATGATTTTTTTCTGTTTGATAATAAAAAAATAAAACAAATTTTAACACAATCGTTAAATTAAATGTTAGAAATTTACAATATTTAGAGAATTTTGTAGTAATTTTCAAGGATAAATAGTGCTATTAAATTAAAAAATGTTTAAAACCATGTAAAATTAATTATATCATAATAAATTACTTACGTGCACTACATATTCGATTAGATATATGTAATATGTAGCGTGAAAGTGAAATATATAGGTATAGTATTAAATTAACGAACGAAACACCACCAATTCGAAGTTGTCTGTGTTCAACAAGATCAATACCTATAATTACTAATAAAAATAATGTAGTGAAGTAGTGTCTTTGTATTCTTAAGTATTTCTTATGATACTGCTTTTTCTCATGAACTATTTTTATTTAAGCTCCCATAATTTAATTTTACGATGTTAATCTTTAAGTAGATATGGAAAATTAACTTAAAGTAAGACCTAGGTTATCTGCCAGCACTATCTCGCTATCTTAATATTTAAATTAAATCACACTTTTAAAATTTCTACTTTAAATACATTCAATTGTCGTAGAATAGAACATGTACTACCTTAACTATAACGATTTTAATATCTTTAAGAAATGCATAGATTTTAAAACCACATCATTAACTTACACCATCATTGATACATACAGATAATTAATTTATTTGTTGTAATTTGTATTATAACATACCTTACAAGAGAAATATGTGTCACATTTTTCTACTTTTCACAACGTTAGTTAGTAGTATCATACATTACAGGCCCAAAATACAAAAAATTTCCTTATAATAAGAAGTACAATATTATAACGATTTACATTAAGTGAAATTTGCTCAATTTTAAGTGTCTCTAATAAAGGATTTCGAACTATCCCTGGAGATATCCACTTCGATATACATATATCAGCATAATATATTCCCAATTTACTTTAACGGCTAATCGTTTGAAATACTAAGAACTCATTGTCAGATTTTTATACGTAACCACAAATGCAATTGTAAATATAAATAATTTTAGATAACGCTTTTATTGAAAGAACCAGTAATATAATATTGGGGTGGAATCGAATCATAAAAGAAAATATTATTTAAAAGACCTAAGTTTAATAACAAGTGTGTACAAACATTAACGATGAACTAATAAGAATGCTAATAAAATGCTTTTTGTGTGAACGTCAAAAGATTTGAAAAATTTGCACTTGATCAGTGCCGATATTTGATAGATTATTATCAATTGTATTAAATTACCTGGCAGTACGAACGAGAACTAGGAAATGTATTGGTGCATAGTTTAGGATTGAAGATAAATAAATTAAATTTGTAGGTATGTCACATTGGACTGTTTGCAGTAGAGTAGCGCAGCTCAATTGTAGGTAATAAATTTGTAATTTATCTATTTATATTGTTAATAAAAACGTTATAACATAGAAAGCGTCATTTTATTAGTCCTGTTACGTGCCTTAAAATTAGAGTGAGAGAGAGAGAGAGAGAGAGAGTGGGTTATTTGAGTAAGAAAATGAGTAACCATTGTGAATATTTTTTATCTATCTGTCCGGGCTTCTTTGCAATGGCTAAGCTCATTGTAATAAAACTTCACGGACAGATAGAGCCTAATGCCAGTAGTGATATGGGCTATATTTTAAATCGAAAAATGGATAAGATGAATACATATTTTTTGTGATGGTATATAATTAATATTCCTTTAATTATTATCTTAAATCTAAATAACGCGGCATGAATCTCAAGATCCCACGGCGAACAGGGCAATCACCCGGCGCATCGTTCTTGCAGGGGCCTCGCGCAACAACCCAAGCAAATTTTACAAAATATAGATTTTTTAACTCCTTTTTTCTATTTTAAACTAATGATTTGGATCCCTAATTACTTAATAGTGTTATAACATAACCGTAAATTAAAATAAGTTAGTTAACTAATTCATTAACTCAAAACATAATTGAAAAATTAATTATGTATTACTTGAATATCGCGCCTCGAAACACTTAAGATCGCTTTTTTTAATCGCATAGCAATCGGGTCAGATCGGGAGTCGGGACATAATGTTCTACTCCTCTATCGCACGGGGAATCCCCGTGTTTCAGTTCGTTCGTCAACTCTTATCACCTTGGAATTATTTAGCTTGCAGTTTGCAGTATACAAAATCGTTACAGTATACCGTACATATCTTTAAATTTTATTGAATATTACGTTCTTATAGTATTTTAAGTATTAAGTGAGCTGGAAAATGTAAAAAAAAACTGTGTGATACTTAAAAATTATTTCTGTTTGTGCGAAACAAAATAAGATTTACGAAATGAGTTCGCGTGATCGTTTCGCCGGTATAAAGTTTGAGTCAGGTAGTTCAAAAAGGAAACGAGCTACGAGTATCAAAAGAAAGCAGGTAAAAGAAAATCTACATAGATCTTTATATAAATAAATAAAAAGTGATGATCAAGAAACTTCTACAAAACATTTATTGACTGAAAAATCGTTATCGCTAAAACCACTTTCTGAAACTAGATGGGAGTGCAGGGTAGCATCGGTGAAGGCCGTTAAATACCAACTAAGCGATGTATGTGATGCTTTAAAGGATTTAGCAGAAAATAGAACGGATTGTCAGTTGGTCAGTGAATGCCATTATGTAGAAAAGGAAATGACTACCTACGAATTTGTAGTTTCACTTGAAACTTGTGAAATGTGGCAAAATGAAAACATGCACTTAGATGTTGTATACAACACCCAGACGCATTCACAAATTGGCTCGCAATTATCTATAAAATGGTTTTCAGTCATCCGATCGACGGTTTGTTTTGATTTAATTCGAGTCATCAGAAGACGACGTAAAAAAGGCATTTTGATAATGGAAGGGAATATGAAGCTCATAAATGGAAGAAATTTTCAAAATAAACTAATTTTATGTCATTGTCCACAACGCGCGCGCAAGCTGCCATCCTAGGTTTTTTAACATTATAGTTGTAGCACAAATGGTCGGCTCGACCGGGGAAGGATCACGCTCTCACAGAATACCAGCGTAAAATAGCAGCTTAATGCTGCTGTGTTTCGTATGGTGAGTGTAGAGAACCGGAGACCCTTTTTACTGCAAACGAGGCATTCCATCTTAGTCCTCACGAGTGACAACACATCTGCATTTTGATTCGTAATCGAGGATAGATGTAGATGTCTATGGGCTACAGCAACCACTTACCATCAGCTGGACTGTGTGCTCGTTTGTCACCCTATCCTATAAAAAAATCATGAGAGTTTTTGGTTTCATGTATAATATAAAAAGATTAAAGAAAATTAGTGATAGTGAACTTTTGAAGTAATGCAGCGACTTGCAAATATCTACGGCAGTTGGAATATCGTGTGACATTGATGGAGATGAATTGTACGAAGAACTGAATTTGTTCATCCGTGTGTATGAAGGAAACGACGACATTATCTCGGTGCTGTGGATTCGCTGTGTGTATATGTGGTTTCGAAGATTACGGATTACCTGTATTACCTTACCACGCACAAGTGTACCAATAACACTGGTAAATTATCTAAACTGTATTACAGCTTGCAGATGTATGAAATTCGGTATTTCAGAGATACAGAAAGAAAGAAGAACTAAAAAACCGAATTTGAACCGGAAAAGATCAAAACAAAAATTAATTTAAAACTGTATTAGAAGCTTTCAAATGTTTATAGATCGGTGTTTCAAAAGTAAGGAACATGTAAAACAAAAAAACCGAAACTGAACCGGGAAAATTCAAAACCGGTTCAACTTAAGTGGTTGTTAAGTTAGTTACAGTAAGTTGTTACAACTCCATGTTATGTCCCGTAAACTTTAGGTATTTTCACACACCCAATTCCGATCTCTGGTCATAATGAAAGACTGGGGACGACTTGGAGCTATATTATCACTATGAATCATCATAGCTATTTTAAAAACTTAATTTTTAAGTTATA